AGCAGGCCCAGCATGCCTGGAGCCACAATCACTGGCCCCATCTGCTGTGTGCATGGAACTGTGCGCGCAGCCAACAGTTGGGGCCGCGCTCTCTGTTGCAGCAGGCCTGGCATACCTGGAGCTGCCCTCTCTGTCAGCAGGCAGGCAGATGTGGGGGCCGCGCTCTCTGTTGCAGCAGGCCTGGCATACCTGGAGCTGCCCTCTCTGTCAGCAGGCAGGCAGATGTGGGGGCCGCGCTCTCTGTTGCAGCAGGTCAGGCATGCCCGTTGCTGTGCTCTCTGCTCAGGTGGCAGGTAGCAACTGGGGCCGCGTTCTCTGTTGCAGCAGGCCCGGCATAACTGGAGCAGCACTCTCAGCCAACAGTTGGGGTCACACTCACTGTTGCAGCAGGTTTGGTGTGCATGGAACTGTGCGCTCAGCCAACAGTTGGGGTCGCGCTCTCTGTTGCAGCAGGTCAGGCATGCTCGGAGCTGCACTCTGCTCAGGGGGAAGGCAACGGGTAGGGCCGCGCTCTCTAATGCAGTAGGCCTGGCATACCTGGAGCTGCCCTCTCTGTCAGCAGGCAGCCTGATGGGGGGGCCGCGCTGTCTGTTGCAGCAGGCCTGGTGTGAATGGAACTGTGCGCTCAAGCAACAGTTGGGGTCGCGCTCTCTGTTGCAGCAGGCCGAGCATGCCTGGAGCCACATAATCAACCAGCAGTTCGGGCCACACTCACTGTTGCAGCAGGCCGAGCATGCCTGGAGCCACATAATCAACCAGCAGTTCGGGCCACACTCACTGTTGCAGCAGGCCGAGCATGCCTGGAGCCACATAATCAACCAGCAGTTCGGGCCACACTCACTGTTGCAGCAGGCCGAGCATGCCTGGAGCCACATAATCAACCAGCAGTTCGGGCCACACTCACTGTTGCAGCAGGCCGAGCATGCCTGGAGCCACATAATCAACCAGCAGTTCGGGCCACACTCACTGTTGCAGCAGGCCGAGCATGCCTGGAGCCACATAATCAACCAGCAGTTCGGGCCACACTCACTGTTGCAGCAGGCCGAGCATGCCTGGAGCCACATAATCAACCAGCAGTTCGGGCCACACTCACTGTTGCAGCAGGCCGAGCATGCCTGGAGCCACATAATCAACCAGCAGTTCGGGCCACACTCACTGTTGCAGCAGGCCGAGCATGCCTGGAGCCACATAATCAACCAGCAGTTCGGGCCACACTCACTGTTGCAGCAGGCCGAGCATGCCTGGAGCCACATAATCAACCAGCAGTTCGGGCCACACTCACTGTTGCAGCAGGCCGAGCATGCCTGGAGCCACATAATCAACCAGCAGTTCGGGCCACACTCACTGTTGCAGCAGGCCGAGCATGCCTGGAGCCACATAATCAACCAGCAGTTCGGGCCACACTCACTGTTGCAGCAGGCCGAGCATGCCTGGAGCCACATAATCAACCAGCAGTTCGGGCCACACTCACTGTTGCAGCAGGCCGAGCATGCCTGGAGCCACATAATCAACCAGCAGTTCGGGCCACACTCACTGTTGCAGCAGGCCGAGCATGCCTGGAGCCACATAATCAACCAGCAGTTCGGGCCACACTCACTGTTGCAGCAGGCCGAGCATGCCTGGAGCCACATAATCAACCAGCAGTTCGGGCCACACTCACTGTTGCAGCAGGCCGAGCATGCCTGGAGCCACATAATCAACCAGCAGTTCGGGCCACACTCACTGTTGCAGCAGGCCGAGCATGCCTGGAGCCACATAATCAACCAGCAGTTCGGGCCACACTCACTGTTGCAGCAGGCCGAGCATGCCTGGAGCCACATAATCAACCAGCAGTTCGGGCCACACTCACTGTTGCAGCAGGCCGAGCATGCCTGGAGCCACATAATCAACCAGCAGTTCGGGCCACACTCACTGTTGCAGCAGGCCGAGCATGCCTGGAGCCACATAATCAACCAGCAGTTCGGGCCACACTCACTGTTGCAGCAGGCCGAGCATGCCTGGAGCCACATAATCAACCAGCAGTTCGGGCCACACTCACTGTTGCAGCAGGCCGAGCATGCCTGGAGCCACATAATCAACCAGCAGTTCGGGCCACACTCACTGTTGCAGCAGGCCGAGCATGCCTGGAGCCACATAATCAACCAGCAGTTCGGGCCACACTCACTGTTGCAGCAGGCCGAGCATGCCTGGAGCCACATAATCAACCAGCAGTTCGGGCCACACTCACTGTTGCAGCAGGCCGAGCATGCCTGGAGCCACATAATCAACCAGCAGTTCGGGCCACACTCACTGTTGCAGCAGGCCGAGCATGCCTGGAGCCACATAATCAACCAGCAGTTCGGGCCACACTCACTGTTGCAGCAGGCCGAGCATGCCTGGAGCCACATAATCAACCAGCAGTTCGGGCCACACTCACTGTTGCAGCAGGCCTAGTGTACATGGAACTGTGCGCTCAGCCAACAGTTGGGGCCACGATCTTTGTTGCAGCAGGCCCGGCAAGTCCGGAGCTGTGCTCTCTGCTCAAGGGGCAGGCAGCGGTTGGGGCCGCGCTCTCTGTTGCAGCAGGCCTGGCATCCCTGGAGCTGCCCTCTCTGTCAGCAGGCAGGCAGATGTGGGGGCTGCGCTCTCTGTTGCAGCAGGCCCGGCATACCTGGAGCTGCCCTCTCTGTCAGCAGGCAGGCAGATGTGGGGGCTGCGCTCTCTGTTGCAGCAGGCCCGGCATACCTGGAGCTGCCCTCTCTGTCAGCAGGCAGGCAGATGTGGGGGCTGCGCTCTCTGTTGCAGCAGGCCCGGCATACCTGGAGCTGCCCTCTCTGTCAGCAGGCAGGCAGATGTGGGGGCTGCGCTCTCTGTTGCAGCAGGCCCGGCATACCTGGAGCTGCCCTCTCTGTCAGCAGGCAGGCAGATGTGGGGGCTGCGCTCTCTGTTGCAGCAGGCCCGGCATACCTGGAGCTGCCCTCTCTGTCAGCAGGCAGGCAGATGTGGGGGCTGCGCTCTCTGTTGCAGCAGGCCCGGCATACCTGGAGCTGCCCTCTCTGTCAGCAGGCAGGCAGATGTGGGGGCTGCGCTCTCTGTTGCAGCAGGCCCGGCATACCTGGAGCTGCCCTCTCTGTCAGCAGGCAGGCAGATGTGGGGGCTGCGCTCTCTGTTGCAGCAGGCCCGGCATACCTGGAGCTGCCCTCTCTGTCAGCAGGCAGGCAGATGTGGGGGCTGCGCTCTCTGTTGCAGCAGGCCCGGCATACCTGGAGCTGCCCTCTCTGTCAGCAGGCAGGCAGATGTGGGGGCTGCGCTCTCTGTTGCAGCAGGCCCGGCATACCTGGAGCTGCCCTCTCTGTCAGCAGGCAGGCAGATGTGGGGGCTGCGCTCTCTGTTGCAGCAGGCCCGGCATACCTGGAGCTGCCCTCTCTGTCAGCAGGCAGGCAGATGTGGGGGCTGCGCTCTCTGTTGCAGCAGGCCCGGCATACCTGGAGCTGCCCTCTCTGTCAGCAGGCAGGCAGATGTGGGGGCTGCGCTCTCTGTTGCAGCAGGCCCGGCATACCTGGAGCTGCCCTCTCTGTCAGCAGGCAGGCAGATGTGGGGGCTGCGCTCTCTGTTGCAGCAGGCCCGGCATACCTGGAGCTGCCCTCTCTGTCAGCAGGCAGGCAGATGTGGGGGCTGCGCTCTCTGTTGCAGCAGGCCCGGCATACCTGGAGCTGCCCTCTCTGTCAGCAGGCAGGCAGATGTGGGGGCTGCGCTCTCTGTTGCAGCAGGCCCGGCATACCTGGAGCTGCCCTCTCTGTCAGCAGGCAGGCAGATGTGGGGGCTGCGCTCTCTGTTGCAGCAGGCCCGGCATACCTGGAGCTGCCCTCTCTGTCAGCAGGCAGGCAGATGTGGGGGCTGCGCTCTCTGTTGCAGCAGGCCCGGCATACCTGGAGCTGCCCTCTCTGTCAGCAGGCAGGCAGATGTGGGGGCTGCGCTCTCTGTTGCAGCAGGCCCGGCATAACTGGAGCAGCACTCTCAGCCAACAGCTGGGGTCACACTCACTGTTGCAGCAGGCCTGGTGTGCATGGAACTGTGCGCTCAGCAAACAGTTGGGGTCGTGCTCTCTGTTGCAGCAGGTCCGGCATGTCCGGAGCTGCGCTCTGCTCAGGGTACAGGCAGCGGTTGGGGCCGCGCTCTCTGTTGCAGCAGGCCCGGCATACCTGGAGCTGCCCTTTCTGTCAGCAGGCAGGCAGATGTGGGGCCGCGCTCTCTGTTGCAGCAAGCCCAGTGTGCCTGGAACCACATCCTCAGCCAGCAGTTGGGGCCACACTCACTGTTGCAGCAGGCCTGGTGCGCATGGAACTGTGCGCTCAGCCAACAGTTGGGGCTACGCTCTCTGTTGCAACAGGCCCGGCATACCTGGAGCTGCTCAGGGGGCTGTCAGCAGGCAGCCAGATATTGGGGCCGCGCTTTCTGTTGCAGCAAGCCCAGTGTGCCTGGAGCCACACTCTCAGCCAGCAGTTGGGGCCACACTCACTGTTGCAGCAGGCCTGGTGTGCATGGAACAGTGTGTTCAGCCAACAGTTGGGGTCACGCTCTCTGTTGCAGCAGGTCAGAGCAGGCCCGAGCTGCGCTCTCTGCTCAGGTGGCAGGCAGGTGTGTGGGCCGGGATCTCTATTGCAGCAGGCCCGGCATACCTGGAGCTGCCTTCTCTATCAGCAGGCAGACCGCGCTCTCTGGGGCCGCGCTCTCTGTTGCAGCAGGCCCAGCGTGCCTGGAGCTGCAATCTCAGCCAGCAGTTCGGGGTACACAAAGTGTTGCAGCAGGCCTGGTGTGCATGGAACTGTGCGCTCAGCCAACAGTTGGGGTCGTGCTCGCTGTTGCAGCAGGTCAGGCATGGTCAAGGCTGTACTCTCTGCTCAGGGGGCATGCAGTGGTTGGGGCCGCGCTCTATGTTGCAGCAGGCCTGGTGTGCAGAAAATTGTGCTTTAGGTCAGCCGTAGGGGCTGCGCTCTGTCAGCTGGAAAGCAACGGTTGGGGCCGCACTAACTGTTGCAGCAGGCCTGGCACACCTGGGACTGCGCTTTCAGCCAACAGTTGGGGCCACACTCACTCTTGCAGCAGGCCCAGCATACCTGGAGCTGCCCTCTCTGTCAGCAGGCAGGCAGATATGGGGGCCGCGCTCTCTGTTGCAGCAGGTCCAGCGTGCCTGGAACCGCACTCTCAGCCAGCAGCTGGGGCCACGCTCACTGTTGCAGCAGGCCTGGTGTGCACGGTACTGCGCTTTATGTCAGCAGTTGGAGCTGCGCTCTGTCAGCTGGAAAGCAACGGTTGGGGCCGCGCTCTCTGTTGCGGCAGGTCAGGCATGCCCGGAGCTGCGCTCTCTGCCCAGCAGGCAGGCATATGTGAGGGCCATGCTCTCTGCTGCAGCATGCCCGGTGTGCCTTGAATCGGACTCTCAGCCAGCATTTGGGGCCACGCTCTCTTTTGCAGCAGGCCCGGCGTGTCTGGAGAGGCTTCGGGCCGCGCTGGCCTGTCTCCTGCCAGAGACGCAGCCATCTACCCCAATGAAAAGAAACAAATATAATACAAAATGGAATATTTAAAAATTAAGATGAAGTGGGAACAGATGACTTCATAAATTTGTTAACATCATTAGATAAATTGATGTTTACCATACACATGACAGGTCTTACGCCCAGGGAGGGGGAGAGGCTGCAGGCCTCAGGGCCTGTCTCTGGCCAGAGATGCAGCCATCCAGGGAGGGAGAGAGGCTGTAGCACTCACTCTGCAGCAGTTTGTCAGCTCACTGCTTTCAGAGCAGTAGACTGGGGAGATGACTTTGGTCACAGTGCTGCCATCAACCTTCAGGACTTGCACACAGTTTCTGCAGTCAGTCTTCAGGGCTCCCAGCTCCATCTTCACAGGGAGTACAAGAATGAGAATAGTTACAGGAGCTGAACCGGAGCCTGAAGCAGTCCCCATCATACCTGCTGGTGCTGCCATCAGAGGTGAGGGTCAGATGTCACTGGCAGAGGCCTTTCAACATGGTCAACAATATCCAGGTAGCTAATTTATAGAAGTGAAAATAAGATTTAGTCACCCCAAGCATTACTTAGTTATTTTTAAGTGGAATTGGTCATCAGAGTTGTAATTTTAGCAGGCTGATTAAATATAGACTATTCAGACAGTCATAGAATATATTCAGCCACCTGAAATAAATCTAAATGAATTCATTTGGCTGAATATGGCTGAATATAATAAGCCTTTTGTGTTAAATGTAAAAGGAACATTTGCATTCCTATATTTAGGCTACATGCAGATGGTTTATAGAGTTAGAGCATATATGTCAAACTCAGGCATATATTTGCAAGTATATTTGGCCCACGAGATCATTTTAAATGTTTATTAGAGTTGGCCCACCAGTATATATCGCATACGCCGCTAATCCTGCAAATCCCAGAATGCTTTGCTAGTGCGTTAGCACATCAATCAAGACCTGCAAGCACCTTCTGTTGACATTCATTAGCAACCTCATGCTACCAGTCACCTCAGGCAAATTTAATCCACCCCTCCCAAAAATGGCCAAACGAAAGATGGAAAACAGGAGCTTTCAAGACAGGTGGGAGGAAGATTATCTGCTCATTAATGTAAAGGACAGACCTGTTTGTCTTGTGTGCGGAACCAACGTGGCTGTAACGAAAGAATATAACATAAGAAGACACTATGAAACGAAACACCAAGACCACTACAAGGACCTGAACATGAAGCAGAAGCTCCAGAAGGTAGAGGAGATGAAAAGAAGTCTGGTTTCAAGGCCCAAAATGTTCACAAAACAATAAGAAACGAGTGCCATTGATGTGTTTTTTATTGGAAATTTGATTTCTCATGTGTTTATTCTATTAAGCTTTGCTTGTTCCAAATTCAATGTTTAAGCAACTTGTTTGTTTCCATATGAAAAAGTTTAGCATTCTATATCTGGAGAGAAGGGAAAACATGCTCAATTTCATTCAATATTTCAATAAATATAGAGTCTGGCCCACAACTTTGTCCCAGTTTTTAATTTTGGCCCCCCGTGTATTTGAGTTGACACCCCTGACCTAGGTGATTCCCCAAGAGCCTTTGCTATCACAAGGAGCCTTGCAAAAATGATTGTGAAGGACCTACAGCCTCTCTGTGTGGTTGATGATGGAAGGTTTTATAAGCTTTTCTTTATAAGCTTTTCTAAGTAAAAAAGTATCGGTATTGCCAATAGTGGCCCTGTGTTTACTTGGTATCGGATCGATACCAAATTTTGCAGTATCACACCCCACTAATCCTGGCAGAGGCAAGTCAGCTGAATGGACAGTACCAACAGGCAAATTTTAGTCCCCTTTGTCAGGATAACAGCACTGGCCTGATTGAAGACTAAATTCATAAATAAAAATAGCTGCATTTACAAGCACATATACTGGCTGCTGTGCTGTGCAGAGGTTTAAGAGCAAAAAACATCAGGTCATCTCTGGTCACATTCAACATCAATGTCCATAAAGAACCTATTGAGTGTTTAGGCCACCGTGGCATCACACTGTCGGTTTCCCATAATAATGCTGTGCATGACTGTTCAGAAATGGGCTGTCATATTTCACTGGAACTAATTGTTAATCACCAGTGTTTTTCACACTGATCACTGTTAATTAACTCTTAATTAGCCTACATTAAATCCCATACACTAACCACACAAACATCTAGACATTGTCTGCACATCTGTCATGTTCATGACTAATCACACTATTCTTTACTTACATCATATAGGAGACTGATGGTATAATATAAGCACATCACTACACAGATCCCGAAGCCACAGGAGATGATAGTTTATTTTGTTGATTATAATCCTTAATAACATTTCAAAGGTTATAGAAGTTATATGCTAACTTTTTAAAGCCTAACGTCACCTCTTCAAAACCGTTGCCTGGCTGAATGAATTCAGAGACGACAGCTCACGGGTGCTTTAAATTGGCGAATACGATCCCACTGTGGCTTCTGAAATTATAAACCCGACGCTCTAAAAACTATGGATATATTTCAATCAGGCGTCAACAATGAAAACATGCTGACATAATCATCCACGCATACACAGCGGGTCCACATTGACCACACTGACGTCAGACATCGCTGACTCCGATATCGAACATCGTCTACATGGCGAGCACACATGCACAAGTTTTGGCATTTTTCAAAAAATGGCTCAGTCGCCATCTTTGTCCTATACTTCCAATGTTAAACTCAACGACATGCACCGATAAAAAAAACACATTTTTCTCGAACACTACATGAATAATCATACTTTTTTAAACATGTCATGTGCACTCTCAGTACAATATATCGTTTTTATCCATTTTATAACAAAATAAGTTTACTGGAGGTGTGCTATTTTGATATGGTTCTGGGCAAATATTTTCAGTCAAAATCACAATAAATATTGTATTTATCAATTTTTTTTTTAATTTATGATGCTCTATTATAAAATGATTTAAAGCAAGGTGTAAATAGTCAGTGGTCTACTGTGTTTTACCATAGCGGAGTGGTGGAAGCCAAGAATCAGCAGGCGCTTCTCACGGAGAAAACCAGAGGGGGCGATGTTTCTGCAATAAAGCTGCTTTCGCCCTTAAAGATGTGAGCAGTTTACCACAGATGTTTTTTGAAATCAAGTTGTTCACTTCTCAACAAGTCAGCTCTTGTTCAAGGTTGAAGAGTTTCACTTAGTTCAGCTCCTTTCCGTCCGTTCAGGGGCAGAGTGAATATAGAATCCTACTTATATAGGTCAGGTCCTCATTACCATGACAACCAGTGACGTATGAATAACGGCAGCCCTAATTTCGGCATGTAGATATAGCCATACATTGAGGTACATTTTTACTAAATGAATACATTTTTAAAAATATTTTATTTGAATAAAAGATGGTTGTGCATTGGAATTAATTGTGTGCTCATTAGATGCAAGTTTTAGTTTTATAATAAGAGTACAGATAGTAAATACATTAAACTAGGGGATAATTTATGATGCAGCATTTTTATTATATTATTGTGTTATTTGTTTGCTAGCACTGTTTCAGTTAGAGGTGAGTCTTTATTTAATCCCTCACATTTTAGTACAACTTCAGAAAATATAGTTGTACTTAAATGAACAGAAAATCTGAAAAATACACCTTTGCTACAAGTAATTTAAAATTCACAGCCTGACATTTATGGTAATTTGGAAAATGTTTAACTCCCTGACAATTTAAAAAGAAAAAGTGTTTAAACAGCATATTGCTCTAAACTCAGACACCAGGCTGTTTTTATGGTGATTCTTATGACAAATTGGTTAATTTCTTTATGCAAATTTGTGAAGTCATTGGACAGTTTCATTGCTTTAAGCATTCTAATACTTATGGCCTATATAAGGCTGGGGAGAAAAGCAGGTGTTAGCCACAGCAGGTTAGGACTGGTTCCAGGCCTGTCACTTAACTAGGCCAAAAGATGTGGTCCATGTTGGGCAACAGAAGTCCAGATGAGTAGCCACACCAATCTGATGTGTTCAATCTAGTGTGTAGATGACACTGTGAAGTTACCACAGTGAAAGCAGGTGGAATCATACTGGAAGGAGCAGTTTCAGTTAGTGCAGATGAGCAGTGGAGTTCTGCTCAACATTTCTAGTATTCAGATAAAGTAGATCAGTGTCAGACTGGTGCATGGAGGTAGCCTGACAGAAAATATGTCAGTAAAGAGGATCTGTATTGAGACAACCTGGCTATTCCCACGTTATTCGGGTCATACTCTAGGTGTGTTCAGTAGTCCAGGATGTTAATGGAAACCAGTGGGTTTATGCATCAGTGTAGTTAATGTGTGAAGAGAAAATCGAGTTTACTTTGTCAAATTCTTTTGTGTCTAATGATAGGACTATAGTTTTGGTTTGTTTTTGCTGAGAAGGTTAGGTTAAATATTGTGTACATGTTATCTGAAGCTTTTCTATTTTTGATTAAACCTGTTTGATCTGGGTGGATTAACATGGAGATGACTGTTTATTCTGGTAGTTAGAGCTATAGCAATGATTTATAAGTCTGTGTTTAAAACGAAGAGTGGAAGGCTGGGTTGGGCCTTTAGCAGGATGTCATTACATCATATGTATCAGTATCATTTCTGTGGTTCTATTCAAATGATTGAATGGATCTTATGTTTGACAAAGACACAATCCCCACAGACCTTTTATTGCTGGTATTAAGATTTTTGCATGTTCCTCTTGGATAAACATTTTAACACTAAACTTACAACCGCTCAGCTGACATTCAGTATCACTTGTGTTGAACCAGCCATAAAGTGTAATGCAGATTACTGAGAAAACAGAGAGAGAAAAGAGTAAAATAAATGCTTTTCTTGCCCGTAATGCCACCTAGTGACTCCGTTTTAAAGATGTTCTTTGTCTCAGCTGGTTGACACAGAGTAAAGTTCCTCATGGCATATCATAAACACATTTCTCAATGTGTCACGCTGTCCATTTAAACTTAAAACAAAAAAGTGTCTTTGTTTTTAAATCCTCAGGCTGAACTAACACAGCAGCAGAGTTGATGACTTCATATATTTAATGGCAATTTAACTCCACAGAAGCTGAAACAAAGAGAGGAAATACAAATAATAAATCTATAATTTAATAATATTTATACTGTACTATCATATACAATAATACAATGACATTTTTTCTGTTAGGGCTGCTCGGACACGGGTATGAGCGAGCAAAGAAAAGACGGACCCAGGTGGCTGGCTTCGGTGCAAGTAGTGAAGGATTTATTTACAGTGCAAAGTTCAGTGGATTAAACAAACAGTTGCAGTACAATAATGAGTCACCGGGTGTTGATCTGTGGCAGTGGGAAAGTCGATGGTGAGATGGATGGTTGTAGGTCAGGCTGCGGACGCTGGGGGTCACTCCTGAACTGGTCGTGGTTGAGGTGAGGATGGCTGAGGAGAACCAGGGTCAAGAGAAGTTTGTAGTCACAAAAAGAACAGGAGAAAGTACTGAGAGTAAATATGGAAACGAGGAGACCAAGGATTTTATATATATATATAGCAAGGGAGTGACTGGTGAGCAGGGTATATATAGGGAGGAGACTAATGAGGTGCAGCTGGTGATAATCAGGGGAAGTGGGGCAGGTGTGCTAGATTGTGTAATCAGGGTGAGGAAGCAAAACTAAAGTGAGAAAAGCAAGAGAGGAAGGTGCAGCTGGGCAAACCTGACATTTTCACTGAAAATCAATTAAATATCTGTTCTTAAGACACAAACTGATAACCTCTATATGCTTAATTCATTCAAAAAACAGTATGTTTTTTGGATTTAAATATAATGGAATCATTTACAGTAACTGAAAATCATACACACAGTCTCTGATATTCAATTGTCACCCAGTAGTATGAATGTCTGACAATCTGCTGTCTTATTCTGTATTTAACTATCAGCTGATCTGGATTTTTATTGTCTTTTCTCTATGGTTTGGTCACCTCTGTCATATGATGCAAAGCACGAATGATACCCCTGTCTACATTTACAGCATACCAGAATGCTTGCAAATGTATTTTTCATTAGCAGTATTTCTGATACTTAATTAAGCACTTTATAAGCTGATACTCTATATGCTGTATAACAATAACATCAGGTACACAGATGTGAGAGTAAAGTGCACAGTGGAGGTGATTAATTAAAGCATAAATCTCTTTCACGTCTGTAAATACAGTCAATAACTACTGTAAAGCCTTACTACTGCCCCCTTGAGGTTTCAGTGTTCTTTTGACCCCACACTGATGTGTTGGACAGACACAGTAGTGGCGCATAGTCTTTTCAGAAGCAGGCTTAGGGTTTTTCTTTGGGGGTATTCCAGAGGGTCATAGAAATATAACAGCATTGAGATTGAAAAAGTAAAAACTAATGGTATGCTGCTGTACAGACATATGCTACTCTTTTTCTTCTGGCAGATGGCACTCATTGTTTGCATACTGGCATATGCCACTGCTGGTTATAGTATGTCACTGCTGTGTACCACATAAATACAACATGTCGCTCATGTTACACAGATACCCTTCTCCCTGTCATACTAACAAAAGCCAGATGCCATTTCTTTAAGAAGCCGGTTTCTCTCAAATAAGCTCCTACTTGGACAAATGTAGCACCCAGGACAAATACAGTATCAATCAGGTTTTAGGATGCACCATAGTAGTACACCATAGTCAGCTCTGCTGCCTTCAACACAATCAGTCACACCATCCTTTTCCCAGCATGCCTTAAGCATGTTGTGGGCATTCAGGAACTGGCCTTCAGTGGTTTACCTCCTACCATCAGGACAGATCGGCCTTAGTTAAAATTGATAAAGTCTGCTCTTCCCCTACACTCATCTCCTGTGGAGTACCACAAGACTCTATATTAATCTCTATTATATTTTTTTATACAGTGCCTATAAAAAGTATTCACCCCCTTGGATGTTTTACCCTTTTATTGATTTTATAAATCAATCATGGTCAATATAATTTGGCTTTTTTTTACAAAAAAAAATTACAAAAAAAAACCTCTTTAATGTCAAAATAAAAACAGATTTCTTCAAAGTGATGTCAATTAAATAAAAATATATAATGGGCAATAAGTGACTGCATAAATATTCACCCCTTTAAAAACGACTGACCTAATTCAACAGAGATCCAGCCAATTGGTGCTAGTAGCCTCACAGTTAGTGAAATTGGGATCACCAGAGTGCAGTAAACATTTGATTTGATTTATTCTTTTAAGCATGTAAAGACAGTTGATGACAACACACAATTTTACACATATCCAACAAATGCTAATCCACTATCAATTTGCTTATACCTAGTACATGCTTGAATGGAGTAGGAAGAAGTCAGACTTATTCAGTCCTACCCCATAACATCATCTTACCATCATTGGTTTGCAAGCAGTAAATGATTCTCTTCTACACAACACAAGTAATATACTAAAGAATTATTACAAAGTGTTAACATTCATACACCACACCCACAATGTTACACCTGATTAATTGTTAAACCTGTTCTTGCATATATCTTGATTGACACATACCTTTATATTTATATTTAAACCCATCAATTCTATTACTATTTTTTATGTCTACACTTAAATTATTCCATAGTTTTACTCCACTTATGGAAATACAAAATCTTTTTTTGGTTGTACATATAACATGAATTTTTTAATTTAACTGACCCCTTAAATTGTATCCCCCTTCCCTTTCATTAAATAGTTTTTGAATTCCACCAGGTAATAAATTGTTCCTGGCTTTATACATAAATATACAATGGTTGAAGTGAACTTTTGTATGTATTTCCCCAGTTTTCAACGCCATACTCTAAGTATGGTAAAATCAATGAAGAATACAAAATGCATAGTGCTTTCCCATCCAAAATATAACCCTTGCCACTATTGATATTTTTGTTATTTTGTTCTGAACATATCTGATATGTGATTTCCAGGAGAACTTGTCATCAACTATGACATCAAATATGTCTCAAGTCATTGTAGTATAAAGACACCCATGTCTGGAAGGTCTAGTCACTGGTTAATCAGTCTTTGTCATGGATTGTTTTTAGTTATATGTTCCTCCGGCGGCCTTAATGGCCCTTCTCAACTCAACCCTTGTCACGTTGTACCAGGCCCCATCTCCAGACCCGAAGAGTTGCATGCTTTCAAAAGAGACTGAACCTCAGTCATCCAAGGTTTATGGTTGGGATACACTCAGATGCATTTGTTAGCAGTCACATTATCAGTGCAGCATTTGATATAGAGCAAAACAGTTTCAATATATTTTTGTAGGTCCTGGTGTTCAAATATAGACCATTCTGTGTGTGAAAAGCAATCCTGGAGCTGTGAGTGCTCCCTTTGGCCAGTTTTTTATAGTCTTAATGACTGGCTTGGTTTGCCTCCTGAACTGGATGTATGCTGGTAAGAGGAGCAGTGAGATGTGGTCTGAAAGGCCCAAGTGTGGGAGAGAAACTAACTGAAAGAGTAGAACACAGCTTATAACACAGGAAAAACCCCACTGACTGGGCATCATATGTAGGTCATGCTAAATCATTAAAACATCCATCACATCACATTGATCCAGCTTTACTGAGACTGTAGTCATTGCATAATTCTCTGCACCCAATGCACTATAAATAATCTTGAGGGGAAGCTGTCAGTTTTTTTCTTAAAGCTGCATTAAATGATTTTACCACTAGAAGGGAGACAATTTTATAAACAAAATCGCAGCACTAACACCTAAAAGTTGTGACAGTGCACTGATGAGCAAAACAGCATTGTTTTTGTGCTCAAATAACTAAAACAACCTACTGTATTTGCCAACATGTACAGTATAAGATGTCCTTAGAGGGCTTTGTGGTGGACTGGGATTATTAAACTCCCTAAAAGTGATATATGCTCAGATTTCCTAACCTGCATTATTGGCCCCGAGGATCTCACCCTGATCTGATGTTGTACTTGTTTTTATGGGTGCCAGGGTGATGAAGTGGTTGAAGGTAATAAAACTGTTGATAGAATCTCTATCCTTGCAAACTACTGTTATGAAGGTTCTTTTGGGAAAACCTGAGTACTTTGACATTTGTAAGGAAAAACTAGATAAACAAGCAGAAGAGTGGAGACTATTTTTATTCATCCAACTGTAAAAAGAAAAAGGATAGTTGTTTAGTAGTTTTGGGGAAGTAGTGGATTTGGGAGTCTTGTCTTTTTCTGTCAGGTCTCTGTTTTCCTTGGATAGGAATTCTCAACTAATCAGAAGAGCAGTTTTAAAGTAATTACACTCCACTGGCTTATTAGTAAAAATCTATAATTTAATTTAGACATTTATCTAAATAGAAATTTTAAGAAATTGTCCGTGGGGGCAGCATTACGCTACACATCGTAAAGCCTGTCGGGAAAATATTAGAAGAAGAGGAGGAGGAAGAAGCTTTCGACACAAGACCGGAAATCCATTAGAAAAAGGAGTAGTGAGCTGTCAAGAGATGGTGTGTAGTGTTGGCTGCAGCTTTGCAAAATGTTTGGAAAACTTTTTCTTTTTCTACTTCTCCTCGTTATTTTTCACCACAACCCCACTGACGCTCAGAAGAAGAAGGAGGTAACCTACGTTTCATAAAATACAGCGGACAAAGTTCATAAACTTAGGTTTAAATGTTTGGGACGTTTTTAAAGTTGTCTGTCACCGGTGCCAGTCACAGAGGCTAACGTTAAGTTAGCATTAACCAGAAACACACCGACGCGTTTCACTTAACCTTTACACGCCAACGTTTCTAAATCATAATTCTGGTTGTGGATCCGAAGTCCAGTGAGTGATTCCACTTGTTTTCAGCCAGGACATTTAACCGCTCAGGCCACGTTAGCTAACTAAACACAACAGGAATGCAGCACCGGTCTCAGGACTAGTTACAACACTGCTAGAGAGGGACCCGTGGTCACTTTTATGGCTGCCTGATAGTTTACTCCTGCCAGAGTTGCACTAACCTCGGGTGCCTTATTTGCTTTCATAAAGTTAACTCAGCTCGACACTTTTTAACACATCTGGCCTGCTAAATACAGAACATCCTAAAAATGTCTTTCCTGCAAGGTGAGATTGACAGACACTTCCAGAAAACGGGTTTAATCAGTGTAAGGGGTAACGCATACCCGAAGTAAAACGTTGTGTAGTGTTATTACTCTTCATAGGAACACAGTGTTATAGCGCATAACCTTGTGCATTTAGTAATGTTATTAGTTACATTGTGTAGCACCTTCTGTCCAAATAGGCCATCCATATGAATCAATCAATAAATTGCAACGTTCTCAAGACTCCCATCTTACAATCTGCCAGCCTCTAATTTTGTGACTTAAATCATTTGATGAAGTAAAGTAAAACTTATCAAGTGTGTATGCTCTCTGCAAGCCAGTGGTAATGCCAGTTTTTTCTGAAACTTTAATGGCTACCGCTGTGGCTTATGAGATAGTGGGTCATTGAGAAAGACACTGAACCCCCACGTTGCTTCTGATATCACCTGAGTGCTTGTGTGTGCAAAAAGGCAAATTGGAAATAGTGTAAATCACTTTGAGTGTGCTTCAATGCATAGAAAGACACTATATAAGACCATTTACCAGATTTTAAGGCTTTGTGAGTAGGGTATATGTGTTTTGGTTAGCCCATGTGACAGTATTTAAGTGGACTACATTTTTGACCACTTGAGAAAAATATAATAAAACCTGTAATATATATATTTAGACAATATTTGGCAAGCCCTACTTACAAATAAGTAGGGCTTAATAATTTTACTTTCTATTTTTGTTTATGGAGATGCTTTGTAAGACTTCAGTGTAACTTAAAGACTAATAAGTACCACCTAGAAAATAATAATGTAACTGAACTTATTACTTTTTATTTAGAGATTCCCTGATTGGTGGACTTTGCACACAGTGGCACAGACCCAAAATATTGCTTCCCAAATGAAAAAAAAAGTATACTTTCTATACTGTAGTGTACTTTTGAAATGTAAAAATGTACTATGCTAGAAGCTGTGTTAAAATGAAACCACTTAAATTGTACTTAATACACTGAAAGATATACTTTAAAGCTGTTTTAATACATTAAAAGCACAAAACAAAATGCACATTGGGAATTTCACAGCATATATTGTACATTTGTTTGTCCCAGTGTCTGTAAGGCAATAGAGTGGACAGTGTTTTTTTTTTTTTTATTGTCATCTGTTGTTTTTAAAAATGCTATATTCATTACACTTTGTCTTTATTTTGTTGTGCACATACTGGTCTCATTGATTTTGACTTTTGCTTTTACTGTTAACTTTTGTTCTTATTGTCAACTTGTCAGTCATATGTAAAGCACTTTGATATGCATTCATCTGTACAAAAGGTGCAATACAAATAACGTTTAACATCTTCAATGCAGCAGTAAAAAAATACTTGTTTTTGAGAAAGAGTCAATAAGTCAACAATGCATTTTTTTCAGTGTACAGCAGTCCATTCATTTATTTAGCAGGCTTGAATTTCCTTACTGGATGTTTAAATGTTGGTATCCTACTGTGTTAGATTTTAATTTGTTTATTTAGCTGGAACCTGACAGGGCCAATACTGCTGGTGGCAGAAGATGAGCTTATAGATGAGATAAGACATATATTTATTACCGACCTGTGTCTGTAACCTCAGTGTGACCCACTACTGGTCCAGTGATGATTGACTTTTGATGATTTGCACCCTGTATTCAAAAACTACATATATTTACATTGTTCAACATCATTTATCTTTGTAATATTGAACACTATTGGTTAGCTGTGGATTGGCCACTTTTTTAAATGGTCTTTACATTAATATATTTTATAGTACTCCATTATTAATGTCTGAATCATTTGTTTTTATGTTGGATTTATGTTTGCAAACCAAATCACTACCCAAGGGATGAATCAAGAATTTTACTTAACACAGCTTTCTCTAATTTCTGATAGTTTTTGTTTGATGCAGCTTTATCCAGAACACTGTATGAAACTAATATTATGAGTATGGCACCTACATTTTCCATTTTATTTTCTTGTTTCTGTGCCTAATGCCAATAGCTGCCTTCTTTGTGTTCATCCTGTGTAGACTCTGCTGTCAGAGAAGGTGATTCAGATGATGGAGTGGGCCTCCAAGCGTTCAGTCATCAGGATGAATGGAGACAAGTTCCGTCGCTTTGTCAAGGCTCCTCCCAGAAACTACTCGGTGGTCATCATGTTTACAGCACTACAGCCTCAGAGACAGTGTGGGGTTTGCAGGTTCGAAGCAGGAGCAATAGGAACAAGCACTTCTGCTGTTTTCATTTTGATCTGTGAGTTTAAATGTATTTTTTGTTTTAGACAAGCTGATGAGGAGTTCCAGGTGCTGGCTAACTCCTGGCGTTATTCCTCTGCCTTCACTAACAAAGTCTTCTTTGGATCTGTCGATTTTGATGAAGGATCAGACGTCTTCCAGATGGTGAGACAGTTTCTTGTTATGCAGTTATGCCGTTTGCAAAAGCTTGCCATTCATACATTAATGCAACAACAACAACAACAAAAAAAAGCAGAGTGTGTGTGTGTGTGTGTGTGTGTGTGTGTGTTATTGTGGGCTGAGAGTCCATCCACTGGAGAAACTGAAGAGTATTAGAAGAGGAGCTTTTTAGTAAATTGAGCTGCTGTATCATTTAGTTAAACAGAAATCTGCCTACTTAAAACAGTTTTGCTTTCTGATGCATATTTGTTTTTTCTCTGGGCTTTAAATGACCATACCAGAGATCTGACATGTTTCGTCCAATTACAACAATCGTATGTAGTGTTCACTGCTGATGGCAGCATTGTATCACAAGAAGGTGTTCTGGATGCATGGGTAGACGAAATACTACCCAGAGAAAGAGAATGAATTCTCCACCGCTTTATAAAAATATCTGCAACAGTTTGATGGGTGGAGCCAACAGAGACTGCTGCTGCTAAATATTGCCATGTAATGTATTTTTGTTTGAGATGCTCCTGCTGAGGCTCCCATACAAACCTTTACATTGCTCCACCTCTCTGCTCCATTCTGCAAACTTCTTGCAGACTTTTCTGCAAGTTGACATGTCCATCTTACTCTTAAAGCTCGGACAGCAAACAAGCCTTGTAAGCATTAGCATATTCATCAGATATTTTGCATCGCCCATTAATGGATGATTGTGGAACACCACATGGAGGAGTATGATGCCCGTGCACATGCAATAGTTCAAGAGAAGTTCATATTTTATAAAGACAAAATTGCATCCAGGTACACTGATCAGTTGTATAAATTTGAATATTTTTGTGCATATTTAGATTCTAAAGTTTGTGCTTATATAGTGTTTTAATATGGAATCTACTCATAGATTCATAAATGAGGGCCTTTGTTATTTTTAGCTCTAGTTACAAACATTGAGATGAGATTTATTGTGGAATTCAAGAGTACCTTTAGGACCCACTGCAACACACATAGAATGTTCTGACTGTGTTTGTGTTGCAGCTGAATATGAATTCTGCTCCGACCTTCCTCCACTTCCCACCCAAAGGGAAACCTCGCAAGTCTGATACGTATGAGCTGCAGGTCAGAGGCTTTGCAGCGGAGCAGCTGGCTAGATGGGTGGCAGACAGGACTGATGTGCAGGTAAGTAAAAACATTAAATCTCAGTCCAAGTGACCAAGGCACCTAAATGTGAAAGAATGTTGTAAGTGTCTTTGTGTTTGCTGTGAGACAATAAACCAATAAATATCTACTCTGAACTTCGATAGGCACAGTCAAACACTAGGAGGATGGTAGCCTCTTAAGATTATAGTCATTTTGGTCTGTTTTTCAGATCCGTGTAATTCGTCCCCCCAACTATGCTGGGCCTCTACTTCTGGGGTTCCTCCTGGCTGTGATTGGTGGACTGGCATATCTACGAAGACACAATTTGGAGTTTCTGTTTAATAGGAATGTCTGGGCCTTCTCTGCACTGGTAAGCCAACACACACACACATTCACTCATTTAGGTTTTTTCTTCTCCTCATGTGAGCTCTCTAATTACTTGCACCCTGACCTTTATGTCTTCCTTGTGCTAATGTGTTTTTCTGTGTTTCAGTGCTTTGTCCTGATCATGACCTCAGGCCAGATGTGGAATCACATCAGAGGACCACCTTATGCACACAAGAATCCCAACACCGGACAAGTTGTAAGACACAAATGCAATATATCACGGTATAATATGCACTCTAAATATTAGGATAGTTTTTTTTTTAACCTTTTTTTTTTTACCATTTGTGTTTCCAGAGTTACATTCACGGCAGCAGTCAGGCCCAGTTTGTGGCTGAGACACACATTGTCTTACTCTTCAGTATCCTTCAGTGGAATGCATACTCACAAAACAAAAAAACAACAAATCCTGTGTTACTTAATCATCACTTTCAGCTGTCTTGACATGATTTTCTCTTCCATAAGCATTGGATTGGAATCTGTATTGGCAGATACTTGTTATTAAAGGAATCAAATCTATATCAGGGCCAAAAAAAACTGCATCAGGACATCTTTGCTTTGGAGTTTGAGTAGACTGACAGCATCTATCACTTGTATTTCTTGTCTAAACCTTGACTTTACTGTCAGATGCTGCTGTTAGCATGGGAATTGTGCTGCTGTGTGAGGCTGCTACTTCTGACATTCACATTGGAAAGAGGAAGGGTATGCGCACACACACATACACAAGCTACATTATAATTGCTGCTTTCCAGCAACCCTTGCAGTCTGGGCACTATGTGGTAAAAGGGCAACATCTCCAACACAATTCTTTCTTAAACCTACATAATGTAGTAGTTTGTAGTGGTTCATGTAGTATAATGGTTATATAAACTTTACTTTTTACAACACTGAGAAGTGGTAATGAATAAACGAAGAACGAGCGACTGGTGTCATCACATGTAAGCATCCGGGTTCATCGGTGGCAAGATCAGTGGTGACGAATTTTTCTGACCAGTCGGTAGTTTGTCATGTTTACACATCACCATTTGGTATCGCTTCAACTCGGAGGGGATAAAAGTAGTACCAGGTACTAGCCCCAACCTTTGACTGATGGAAAAACAAATAAGGCAAGCAGAGTCAAGTTAAGTTGAGCCGGAACCAGGAGGTAGAAAAGGGGCTTTAGTCAGTACAATGTCTCCTAAAATCACTGGAAAACATTGTGTGTCTGTGTGTGTCAGTTATGTGTGTAGCAGGTATTGGTATGGTGATGCTGTTCTTCAGCTGGCTGTTGTCCATTTTCAGAGCAAAGTACCATGGATACCCATACAGGTAGAGACGGACACACATTCATATTTGTATATCACATTATACTTGCTGTGATTGGCAATCACAGTGCCTTTTTTCTTGTTGGCTAAAAGTTCTATGGTCTGTTCTGCAGCTTCCTGATGAGTTAAAGCAGCCCAACATTCTCCATCTTCACAGCAAGTAACCTGAGAAGAGGAAGTTCTGTCAACAGGCAGGGTGCTGTCCATGGCAGCGATACCACTATTATTTGCTGAGCCTTGATTGGTCTTCTGATGTGGTATATCAAAAGTGTGTTTGTGTGAACACAATTTTGATAAAACCAGTACAACTTGTTTGTAAAGATACAACACTTTTGATACAAAGCTGTAATCACTAGTGAGCGTTATAGAATGTTTTGTGCCAAAAACGGTTTCCTACGTTAGAATCTAAACAAAAATGTCTTGAATTGATGATGGGTAATAGTTTAGGATACAAACTCCAATGTCTGTCTTTGTTTGAAACTGCTGGGCTTACATTGAGGTCCTACACTGTTCTGTTTGTTTAGCTGCTGTTGTTTGCAACTCTGTGGCTGAACTTAGAACTGGTTATGTGAGGTAGCTTCTGGAAATAGTCATTTTAACCACCCCATCTCTGGGTCCTGTAAACTCTTGTCTAGCACCTTCTACAGGGTGTATAAGGTGTTAGTGTCTTTTTGTGTTGTCCTTTGAGGGGGAAAAAAGTATATTCCAAATAGGAGAAGTTTATATCTTTCATTTCATGATGGCTCCTTTAGTTTTGCATTCATTTGCCAGAATACTGTAAAGTCTTTGTGTACACAGATGAAGAGTTTGTTTGCAGTCAGCCAATCAGATGGCTTTGTTTTAAGCCATATTTGTATAAAACGGTCAGATCAGCATTGTATCACTGGCTGACACTTATAGACAGATGCTCCTAATTAGCTTTTCTGCTAAAGTCTTATCTAATTTACAAACATGAAACCCACATATTGTTTTGGAGACACTTGGAGCTGCCGGTGCCCCTGGAGTTCTGGGAACTTAGAGAAGTTTCTCTAATGAAGGTCTATATGGCTGGTAATCCAGCTTCTGTGCCTGCTAATTACAACAGCAGTGTTAAGTTTTCTACAGTTTTTTTTTCCCACTCCTACATGGTATCTTTCAAGTAGGAATGGACACTATGGCTCATGGGAACTGTAGTATGGTATTTAGACAAATTTACCAAGCCAAAGGTTTGTGAGGGTAGAGAAGTAACCCTATAAATGCCATCATGTTATCAAGCAGTCTTGTTTGTGTTGATGAACACAGGTGTTGCCATTTAGAGCAAAGGTTTCAAATGCTTTTTTGCTTTTTTTTTAACAGTAAAATCCTTGCAGAACCTGCAGCTTCACTCATTGTGCTACTTAATAACCTATGTGCCTTACACTGCTGAGCTACTGGAGGATCTGGTGACGTGTCTGCTTATGAGCTGAATATAATTGCTTTGTTTCATGTCATGCTTCACAGTCCTGTGACATTCTAAACCTGACAGCAGCGTGACATGTTACAGCACTGAAAATGAACTTCAACTGTGTAATCAACACTGTTACCATCCCTCACTCACTCATTCATTTTCAGTCAAAGATTTATAGTAAAAATGTTAAATGAATAATTTTTCAGATGAAGCTTGTACAATATACCTTTGGTCTTTCACCTTTAGTAGATCTATAGAGAGTGGGGGCTTGGGTGGAATAGGGTGATTTTTTTTTTTTTAGTTTTTATTCAGAAACCTTAACCCCTGAGTAAGATGAGATTTTGGAGTTTGTATACAAACTCAGTCCTTTAAATGTCTGTGGCTGCCTTATCAGGTTGTACTGGGAGAGAATATTTGGTGTGAGGTGATTATTTCTGATATTAAAGTGCCTTAACAGCTTCTTAATGTTTTTTCTGTTTGCCTTTCTTTCAATTTTTGGGATAAAAACCAGTACCTACAAGGGAAGCGTGGCATAGGGCCAGAACAACATTTACATTTTGTTATCTATATGATATAAACTAATGTGACTTAAAGGTTGACTATGCTGATTTTGTGATCAGCTTCCTTTCACTATATTGTAAGACTTTTTGATGGCATTCACTTTCTTTAATCAGTGACTACTCAGTCTGGTGTTAGCAAAATGCCCTATACTGTTGTACTGAATGCTGGCTGGGAAGAAGTCAGCTTTTGGCAGACAATAGTAGTGTGATGTCATTCCATACAAGTGGAGGCTCCACTCCTCCTTAAAGAGCCCATGGCATGCTCATTTCCAGCCATTTAATGTTTAATCTTGGGTACCTCTAAATTAGATTTACAAAGACTTCAAACAAACCTTTTTCACATTAATGAATATAATCCATCTTGGAATAAGGCTGTAACATAAAATGTTGAAAAAGGTAAGCACTGAGAATACTTTCTGGATGCACTGTATTATCTGGTTCTTGTTGTAATCTTTCTAATATTCTAATCATTGGAAATATCTATATTTAGAACCAAAATATCACTAATTACTATTTTATATTCTGGACTGCTTTTCAACTGCATTTTTTTGCCAAAAAATAACCAAGTTTCTGGTTTAAAAAATTCCCAGTGTTTTTCATGTTGACTACTCACTACAGCCATCTTCCAGAACTATTCCATTAGGTAAATAATATCCAAGAACAACCGTTCGTTTTTAAAAGAGCATTGCTAAACTTCCTGTAGACCACATTTTTTCTATATTAGTCTCAATGTAATTGCTGTATTATCTGTAATATAGCGGGGTAAATTTCTACCTCATAAGAACAACTACCAGTCCAGTTGGTGGCAGTAACGCGCAAACGTTAGGAAGAAGAAGCAGAAGAAGAAGCACTCTGAAAAACGACAATATGGCGGAAAGTAACATCAATAGTGATGTAAGGAGGCCTTTAAATTTAGACGCAGAAGCTCCTAAATTATCTGACTTGCTAGAGCGTGGGTGGAAGATATTTGATGAGGTAGACAGTACAAACGAACCACTGGCATCTAACAGTATTCAGGTTAGAGTGAAGCGTGGTATCAGTATGTTAGAAGAAGCGTCCAGAATGGCAGCTCAACTCGACCTGTTCAGCCGTAATGAGGAATTGGAGGAGATTTCCACGACTGACCTAAAGTATCTGCTGCTGCCCGCATTATTAGGAGCGCTGACCATGAAGCAGACCAGCCGAGATAAACGACTAGATATAGTCCGGGCAGCCCGAGCTTACTTTATGGATTTTTTGAGACGATGCAAAGAGTATAATTTATCACAGTTTGAGCTGCCAAAGTCGAGGCATGAAAACACAAGTCTGGAAGAATCATCAGAATGTGCAGTCTCAGCAACCAAGGTGAGTAACATTAGTCTAGAGCAGAGGTTTTCAAACTTACGGTGCCCAAGCCAAAATCCCAAGGAACACCTGTATTCATGTCCAGGGGAAATAGCCTCTATATTCTAAGTTAGATATTATCAGCCTTGTCACCCGCTCTATAAATGTTTATTTTTGTTTAGTTAGCGGTTATAATTTTAACGGTATAGTACCGCAATTAATCACCCACATATTCCTCTCTTTAACAGTTTAAGACACCGTGACACACAAATAGTTTGTAGTATTAATAACTGTACGCTTGCAGCTAAACAGCATGCTGGGCCCTGCTTGCTATGTAGCATAGCAGCCTTGGATACGCGTGTTGCATTGCGGGGCGTGTCGGCCATCCTGGTTGCTACAGTAGGAAACAAGCAGTCGCGAGAAATTTGTGAGATAAACGCTAATGCAAACAAATGCGAATATGGAAAGAAAATGCGAGAAACGCAATAGGATTCACTGTGACAACTTCTCGAAGGAAGCCTGGATCCGGTATTTGGAGAAAATGCAACTTGTAATTGGTTTGGATCCATACGAAGGAAAGGCCAGTGAGAAGCAGTGGTGCCTGTGCCAAACCAATACATCTATGGTGTCAAGGGCATGGTTGCATGTGACAACCACAATTGGTCGATCCGTTGGTTTACGGCCCTGCTGCTGGTGACCTACCTATGGTTTAGTTCCCTCCCAAGGGAATTATAGGACCAATATAAAACATTTCATCAGTTTCTTCTGGTGCAGTGTCCACAAACAGCATATCCAAGTTTGCAAAAAGTAATTCATCCTTACAGTGTATCTGAGGAAAGAGAAACATTTTGAAAATCCTTGAGATCAAAACATGATTATTTATCTGCATTTCAGTATTGCAGAACTACTTGTTTCACAACCACACCTGGGTACATGTTTGTCAGAGCGTAGCACCGCAGTTTTGCTGAGGGATGACAAGTCCTCACCCTCACATGGAAGCAGTGTACCAATGGGTACTTTTGCTGCTAACATGGTTTGCTCATTGTGAATAATGCCAAATTACTCTTTCCACATGGATTTGGAGGTGAGCAGTCTTTCATATTTCCTCCTCATCTCTTGTGTCCAACTGGCAGCGTCCTTTTGTGAATGCAGGGGTCTTTACCTCTGCACACACAAGTCCAACGCTGTCACTGGTGTCAATGCCATGATCAGCCAACACCAGATCACCAGGCAGCTGTTTATCCAGAATCCCACAGTTTTCAGCTATATGCTTATCACTGACACGCCCTCCCTTACAGGGCTGTAACACCAGTCAGATACTTCATGGTTGTGCTGTGTTTGTAGTGGGAAAATGACTGAGATTGTGCTTTAAGGACAGTCTCTGTGTGAATATTTCAGAACAGTCCAGAATTACAGCAACACATTTCCCAAAGGCCTCCACAAACTGATGAGGCATAGTGACAGCATCAGCTTCTTCTCAGAAGGCTTGTAAGTCTCGGTTCCACCTAGTGTTTCTTCTCCCTCCTCTTCCAGCAGCATCGGTGTTGCTTCTCTTTGTGTGTTGTCATCCACTGCCATCTCATCCATCGCTTGTGTACTCTGTCCTTTGTTGTTTTCTATTTGCCTGTCTGCCAAGCCGTTCAGTCTCTAAAGGCTTGATCTCAGTCTGACCCAAGTGTAGACATGGTGTCCTGTCTGGATGTGTTCTGCACATTTCACATGCTGGTTTACCTGGCAACGCAATCAGTCCCTCAGGTTAATAACTCTGCTATGATTAAATAGAATATCGTGCTGGCTAAAGCACAAATCTAGCATAATGTATTTAATCACAATAATTCTGCAATCACATGTACAACTTGTCATGAAAGCCTCAGGGTATGTTGGTGTGTGTGTGTGTGGGCGCAAGAGTGAAGGACAGAAATAGAAAAAATGTACTTTGATTAACTTACAAGAATGAAAATGTAAGGAGCGCACTCATCGATGTTGCTGAAGAAAATGTTGTCTTCTTACAGCTGACACCCAAGCTGTTCGACACCTCTTTGTTAAATCTGCAACCTGTCTTCCCTCATTTTGATGCCAGGCAGGAAAGCAGTGAAAAGTTATCCCGTGGTCTGTCTTTTTTATTTATTTATTTATTTTTTATACCGTTACAATTATGTGAAGCACTGCTGCACTTTTTCACACAACAGCATCTTACCATAATTACATTTAAAACAAAATATGAAGAATAATGGTTGAAAACAGAACGTTTTTTTGTTTTTGCATCAGTTGTGAAAGGGTAGGAGACATTCTAGAAAAACCCTTAACATTCACTGACATTCACTTTCAAAGTTGTTAAAACAGTTTTATTAATTTCTTTAGGAATTGTTTTTCATCTAGTTAGGCTAATCAGCACTAGATTATTAGGGAGGGTATTCAAATTTAAGTAGTATTTAAAACTCAGGTCAAGGTGAATGGGCATCACAGAGCAGTGAATGCCCTACAGTAATTAAGTGCAGTAGACAGTCAGTGTTTTAGGTTTGATACTTAATTCTTGCAGTTTTTAATAGCTACCGTCATGTTTGTCTTGTAAATTGTTAAATAAAAATGACCAATTGTTATTAAAAGATATTATGTTATCTTGGATTACACAAAACAGTCTAAATTTGTTATGTTACTACACTGACTATACAGTACACTTCTTAAAACTAACACAGTAGTTAAAAAAATTTGATAAGCAATGTAAAGAATTCAGAGTTTTTTAGCATATTTAGAACTGGATTCGGTTCAACCCCATCCCTACTTTTACTAATATGAACTATTATTGCCTATAAATTACAATACCTTTATTTTGAAGGACATGCATGGATTATTCAGTTCCTTACAACTGTATTTTTGCTTAGCACCCCCATCTGAATATGAATGGAGCAGAACAGAAAGTGAAGGACCTTCTGGTGGGATAGGCCATGTTCACACTGCAGGCTGAAGCGGCTCAAATCCGATCTTTTTGCCCAAATGTGACCCATATCCGATTTCCTTATGACAGTGTGAACAGCACAAATCCGATTTTTTTTTTTTTCAAATCCGGCCCAGGCCACTTTCATATGTGGTCCTAAATCGGATACATATCCGATGTTTTGCAATGCGACTTCAGTCTGAATGGCCACGTCGCATTTCATGCAATTTTTTTATGTCATTGAAATGCGAAAGACGTCACAATTCTGTGCTGGAGGAGGCGAGGCCATAAGCGATATTTGTGCTTTCCTTCTTCTTGATATTCTTATTTGTTTATTTCGATTGCACATTAACTGGTACATCGCTACGCACATGCTATCACGAGCCGCATCCATTTTTATTTTTGCAAACACAGTACGCTGTGTCTGACATCATGTCCTCTTCTGCGCATGCGGGTCACCTCAGGGCCGTATACCGTTCACACATGAGACAGATGGCAGTCACATTTAAATGACAGTGTGAACAACAGCGCAAAAAAAATCGGATTTCGGCAAAAAATCCAATCTGAGCATTAAGACCTGCAGTGTGAAACAGAATATGGGAAATAGTAATAAATAAGATACTTTTCACCTACAGAGAAATAAGCAGCACTTTGAAATACATGAGCTTGTTAAAGTGTCACTTAAAGCAAGGTGCAAAATGAATCAGGTCATATGTGTTTCTTATTCCAGCCTGTCCCCAGTCCATCAGGCCTGGTTGCCATGGCAACACATAGACAAGCAAAGATCGAGCGGTATCATCAGAAGAAGGAGTTGGAAGCCAGGTTGTCAGACTTGAGGAGAGCTGTGGACAGTGGACAGGCCGACGATGAAGTCACCAGAGATTTCTATCTTCTGAATGTCCGGAGATGGGTCGGTGTGTGTCTGGATGAAATAGAAAGCATTGATCAGGAAGCTGAGATTCTCGAGGGGATGGATGTTTTGAAGCACACTGCTGCCAAACAGGCACCACGGCCAGTCAGGCGTCCCATGAAACCCTTCATCCTTACCAAGGATGCTGTACAGGTGAGACTACACAGGAGACAGTGAGTCACCACATAAAGTCATTCATTTACAAAACTAGGAAGGAGAGCTGCTGCTGATTGCAGAACTAGCATAGGAAGTGGAGCTCGGCCAATAAATCGGCCAGGCCGGTCTTGCACTCAGCATGGTGCGCAGTTGTGTGATAATGTGTTTGTTTTATCCACAGGCTCAGGTGTTTGGGGCTGGTTACCCCAGCCTTGCCACCATGACAGTAGATGACTGGTATGAACAGCACAGAAAACATGGAGTTCTGCCTGACCAAGGGATACCCAGAAGTGTTCTGGAGGATGACACTGATGCAAATGAGAAGGAAGAGGAAGAAAAAGAGAAAAAGGCTGAAAATGATGACCAAGAGTCTCTGCTGAAAGCCAGAGAATGGGATGACTGGAAAGACAATCATCGCAGAGGTTATGGAAACCGCCAGAACATGGGCTAACTGTGTGTCTGTCTGGCCTCCTCTGTTTTCATGTTTTGTTTTTTTTATCAGTCCTGGAAGTGGATGTTCTTCACAGTTCTGATCCTTAAAACTGTTGGTATGAGAAGGAAATACACCACCACATCATCACCTAACAAGCCTGCTGAGTTAACTGACCTGACTACATACAGGTAGACACTGATCAGCAACCCAGCTGATATCCTCATGTTTCATTTTTTGTCAGTACTTCTCTGTGGTGCCATGTGTTTCACAGCATCCTAATAAAAATCGACAGGTTGACTGGACTGACTGGAGGCCAGCCATGATGCCAATGTTTCTTGTCTCTTTTGAACCAAATTGAGTCCTGATCACTTAGTTTAAATCGGTGAAGGGACGGAGGTTCTATGAACTTGTGTAAAGATTTGCAGGAAAGCCATTTTTCACTTAATTCACTATTTTAATGTAGTTTAAATGGCATATTTACCACATAAATCATGAGTTTAGGTGACTAAATGTGGATTGTTTAACTCTTCAGCTTAAATTTATTAGATATATTGTAACTTTGTTTGCACACACTTCCCAGCATGAATTGCAATAAGGTTAAATTCTTCATTGATCCTCCTTATTTTCTAATATGAAAACATTCCATGATGAGGGGCTGTTATGTTTATTTTTATACATGATTTGTTTCAGAGTCAAATAATCTCCATCAGCCATCTTGCTTTTGTGACATTTTGCAACCAGACTCTGTGCAGTAGCAACCAGTGCAGTATAGATGCTAATCAAAGCTGTTAAATTGTCTGAAATACATTCCTTATATTGTCAAATAACTTATTAAAACAAATTTCAGAAAAACAATCACATACATAAATCTTCATGATATCTACTTAAAATGACACTTTCACCATACTTTGACTTTTTAGTTGGGCTCATTTCCATTTCAGTAACATGGAGGGTGTAGGGGGTGTGGGGAGCTGTCTACTCGCACAACTTCATATTTGTTAAAGAATAATATGTACTACAACAGTCTAATAAGAACATGATGCATATTGTGTAGTGGGACTGGTTCTTTCTCTTCAAGGTAAAGAATGATTCCAAGTTGAGACAGCTGGACCTATGATGACTCTGTGTGGAAGAGACATAAGTCTGTGTGAGGCCAGAGTCAGTGTCTCAAGCTTCAGTCCTACAGGAGATGTCTAGGTTTGACACCCCTTCTTCTCCTGTGTTCTGAGATCAGGACAGTAAAATGAACTAGAAAATCCAGTTTCTAAAAAATTACAGTGGGATTGAGTCAAAATGAATTGCTGGCAGCCGAAATGGCTTTAACTAAGCTGAACTGCTGGTAAAGCTGGAAATAGCTGTTAAACTGCTTTATTCTATTAACGTTGCATGAAGGGGGAATGTTAGAAAAAGTTTGATTGTTGGAAAGAGTTCAAGGGTTAAAAATATTAAATACACAACAGTCTAAACAGTGAAAGAAAGGTGTTGGGTAAGCAGTTAAATGATTAACTGTACAGAGAAGTAGGCGAAGTATCAACTTCAGCTCATTATTCACATGCATACGTGAAAAGGCATCTTAAAAATAACAGCACCTGAAATGGCAGACTGTTGCCATATTGAGGCTAATCTCTTAGGTCCAGTTGGTTCAAACCAGAGTGGATTAAAAAGGAGAGTGATGACATCTTTGTTGACTCCATAAGGACAGTTTTGTTTTTAAATAATAATGGTAGATCATAGGAACACTGATTGGTTCCAAACAGCACCATAGGGTTGCAATGATTTGACTGCTATTTTCTAAGTTGAAATCAATAGCAATAACTATACTTGTGACATTTTAAGTTAGCGACATGTGTCAGAACATGTTTTACAACCTTTTGACTGCCTCTCTCAAATATTGTCATTTTAATAAATAGGTACCTGATTAGCTACATTAGCTGAGCCATCTACAACAACACTAGAACACAGAATTGGTTTGCAAGGCTGTACAAGTCATTTAAAAGTAGTAATTTGCTTATAAATCCTGCTGCTCCCCATAGAAAACAGTGGATCTGAATAGGCTGTTTGGAGCTCTTTGAAGCTACGTGAGTCATGTGACCCACTACCATTTTGGACCCCTCAGTGTAGTGACTAATATCTTAATGGCTCTGGTTCAAACTGGGATCTACCTGAAATATACCTCACAACCTTTTGGTCATTAGGACAAGGCAGTAACTTCTGCCACCTAAATCTTTAGATTATGAGAAAGCGGATTCTGCTAAGCGCATCAATATGCAGCATGTGTTTGTGGTGTTAAAAATGTGGACAATAGAGTGAGTTACAAAAGCCTTCATTTCATTTGCCACCTAAAAACTCTCTTAATTTAACATTGACTTTTAATGGAGTAGTTGCTTGACACTCCTGTTGCTCTGAGGGTCAGTGTGGCTCTTCTAGAAGTCTGATTGTTTAGATATCTAGACCAGTTAATCTACAACTGATGAGAAAATTAACTTATGGCAAGTTAGAAAGATTTATTTAGACAGTAGAATCAGAATTTGCCATAGTAACCTCAATAGTACACTGTTTATTATAGGAAAACACCTTACAGGCTTTTGTCATCTTTGTCAAGAAGCAGAAATGATAAATCATGTCATTATTTCATGCAGGAAATATTCATGGGAAAGGGCAGATATGTTTACTTAGTGTCAGGAATTAGGGTTAGTAGATCTAAGTTTAAATAGTAGAATTCAGAAGGAGTGGAAGACGGAGAATCACCTTTATTTGGCCAAGTATGTTACGCACACAAGGAGCGTGTTTCCAGTACAGAACCGAGGCAGCCATCTGTGGCGCCAACTCACACTGATGGTTCAAACCATCAGGGGCAACTTTGGGGTTCAGTGTCTTGCCCAAGGACACTTCAACATGTAGACTACAGGCACTGTGATTTGAACCTCCCAACCCTCTGGATGGGGGACGACTGCTCTACCCACTGAACCACAGTCACAGAAGAGTGTTATTAGATTACTTGAGGGTAACACAGCTAACACAGTTTTTCTCAGTTGCTTTGGTACATTTCTGGAATCATCCTTGATGTTTCCATAATAGTCAGAGCATTTCTCAGACACAGTTCGTACAAACAGCACTTCCTCAAAATCCTTAGTTTATCTGTCAAAAGTAAATACTTGTGTCAGTGAATGTGTCAGCACATCAGAATGACAAGTCCTTGTGTCATCGTTTATGAACGTGGCAGTCAGAATGCTTGGTCATGTATAGCAAAAATACTCTGGAAGTATATTCATGAATATAACTATGGCTCAGGTTTGAGGACAATGACTGAAAATAGACAAGGCTGCACTTGTTCTGTATGCTGTATCAATTTCAACAGTACAAAGTTTCACATTTTTTGTATGGGAGATTGAGACAGATTGGACAGATTAGCATTTACTGTTTTTACTGTCAATGAGATACAGAAAAAAGTGTTTTTACAGCATTGCATAGCACAAAACAAAAATACAACACTAGAAATGTAAACAGAGGAAACCCCACTAACATTGAGGTGCATTCGACCAGGCTCGATCATTGTGAGGCCATGATTGACCATATGATCCACTGGCGTGGCCCTTATTTTGCTTATGTCCTTCGCCACTTCCTTGCTCGTTTTGCCTCCCTACCCATCCACCACGCAGCCCTTCTCCTTCTTATTATAGTCCCAGAAGTTGATGCTGTTAATTTCATAGGTTTTCTGTTGCCACAAACTGTAACACTGTGTTACGCTCTGTCTATATATGCTTGCCTGAAGGTTGATCTGACACACCTCTGAGTTATTTTACAGTAAAGAACTAGTTGATCTAATGCTTCACACATTCCCACTCATTAGTGAAAGTCAAGATTCACCTGAGAGCAGTTCAACAATTCAGTAACATTTGCAAAGAAGTATAATAGAACTGTATGTGTCTGACATATGTACTAAAGACAACTAGTTCACCCATTTTGCATGCAGTGGCCTAATGACATCTGCAATGAACTAATGACTAGTTGTTTTGGGAGGTCAGACTATTCAAAAGAGAACCATATAACACATTTTGACATAAGGAAATGATAATGTAGCAAACAACAGACAATTGAACAATCATTTGCATAAATGAGCCAAAGAATTTATAATTTGTAAACAACAATGAGAAACTGCTCATATGATGTGCACAAGTGACTGGATAATGTGGAGGCTGAACAGGTAGTTTTGAGAATTTCATTTCTGATTTGAGAAATGTACGAAAGTGACTGAGAAAAATAACAGAATTTAAGATATGGGATGGTGAGGCAGACTATGGGCACAAGATGGCAGTAATGCAACACTAGGACACTACCGTAAAACATCAGAGAAGAAGAGGGAAAGCAGAAGTCATTTGCCCTCTGAGGACAATAGCTGGCATTGGATAGAACAGGTTCAGCCACTTAAAACAGTAACTTGCACAGACCCTGCAGCAGCTCTAATGAGAGTATCATCAGGTAAAACTGTAATAGAAGATATCATGACTGAAATACCTAAAATGTTATTAAGAATACAAAGTGTCACAGGTGTATCCTGTGCCCTCTGAGGTGTGTGAGGTTGGCATGCTGAGACAATAGAGTACGTGGCTTATGTCATGTCCTCCAGATTTGGTTTGGCACTTGGTTGCTTCTGGTAATTTACACTATGCATAATGGTATCATTGTCAAAGTTAAGGGGAAAAAAACTACATGGTATCACATTTATACAAATGGATTTATTTCTGGTGTTTCAAATTTGAGTTACCAATTATTTGTATGTACCTCATTCCTTCAGGACACAGGCCCAGACTGTCAAACAGGGAGTGACAGGTTCCAAGGGTATTTATAGGGGAGGAGCTCTTTGGACCTTACCATACTGAGCAGAATACAGAGGGAGGGTTCATGGTTTTCAGGTCATAGTTTAATTACTCTAGTTAATTTCTACTTGTAGTATTTACCTGTGGAGACAATTGAAAGATAACTAGACATTGTTTATTTTGCCTTGCATATAATTTTGCAATGGTATGATATAACTGATTGGGAACTGGCTTGTCTTTATAAAAGGGGCTTCCTGTGTAAATAGCTAGGAGCAGAAACTCTTAAGGACAGTTGATTGGGGCAGTTACACAATGCAGGACCATCGGGGAAGATGGCCTAGTAATAGCCAGGGCCCTAGCTTAGGTTTTTTCCCTTTTGTTGATGACTGAGTTGCTTTGTTCTTTTGACAAGTTTTAATTAGTTATTTTGTTTTGTTTAATTTTGTACAGTCATGGCTAAAAATATTGGCACCCTCGTGTTTCCATCCATTATATATACTGCTTATTCATGAATGGAGCCAATCCTAGCTGACATTGGGGGAGAGGTGGGGTAGACCCTGGACAGGTCGCCAGTCTATCACAGGGCTGACGTAGAAAAACAGCCACACACAGTCACACTCACTTCTAGGGGCAATTTAGAGTTGCCAATCAACCTTTTTGCTGTGAGGTGACAGTGCAAACCATTGAATCGCTGAAGTGAACATGAGAATCTATGATTGCAACAATTTTCTGGGAGAAGTGGTGAGATATCCAGCAGAAATGCAGGGGTGCCAATCTATTTGGCCATGACTGTATATGGTTTTCCATATCCACATCAAGGTTGGCCTGAGTTGTCCTGGTGAAACTGATCCTGAACCCGGTGAAGACAACTCCTACCTTCATGTGTGTTTCTTCCCCACTGCTATTTGAGTCTTATATAAAGGATGGGGTTAGAGATACAGTTTTGTTGGGTCATGTAGGTGTTGAAGGAAACAAAAACTAAACTGGCTAAGGAAGATCTAAAAATACATAATAAAAGTAGCATATGGTAGAGGAGAGGTAAATCATTAATTAGATCAGCAGTGATTAAAGTATGGCAGAGAGAAAGGGATTCAGATGTTAAAGGGGGACACTATTATAAAAAACCCAAATCAGTTAATGTAAAACAGGTCAAGGGAATATTCTGTACTCGGAGAGAGGGGGCAGCCTATTATTTACTTGGTTAAAGATCGGGCATGCAAGTGTACACACAGTATTATATTTAATGGAGAAAAATTGTCAGTGGTGTAGAATTCCAGGAGATGATGAGCACATGATTATGCATTGTTATAAATATACAGTAATTCAGTGAGAGAGAGAGAGAGAGAGAGAGAGAGAGAGAGAGAGAGAGAGAGAGAGAGAGAGACACACGAGGGGATTGTGGGTGAAGCAGGGAAGGAGTGGAGCTCAAAATCAGTAGTTGGTACAGAGAAAGGATTTGGAGCATTTAGATTTGGATGAATCCTTTTTCGTTGTAGGGTCAGGATTAGTAACTATAAATGTTTTGTTTTCTTTAATTCATTCGCAGAGCTCAGATAATTTAGCGGAGTGGCTCTACACACTCCGATGCAGTAGGTGGTGGTATGCACGTAATCGTTGGTTCGCAACCCGCCAGAAGCCGAGGAAGAAGCAGGACTAGGACGACGGGAGCTGTTAGGTGGCCGTGCGAGTACGTGCGTTTTTAACGAGGATAGTGACCGCCTATATACAATGTGAAGTAGCTTAGAGTAACCTTATTGGGTTTTGTAAACCGTCTGTCTGTGGAGCCATAAATGCACGGGGATAAGTTGGCTAACTCAGGTAAAAGTTGAACATTGAACAGCAGGTCAGTAATAATATGTTCTAAAGCAGCTACGATTAAACATCGAGTCGTGGGTCTGAAATGTCACTTCTGAATCCGGGGAAGCTTTCTCCTGTAATGCACGACAAATCTAGTGGTGATCGATTACGTCCCTGAAAACTTTTGGTCTGAACCTCAAACTGTCTGCACGGGGATAAAACAGCGTGGCTTGCCACAGAGCTAATGCCAGTATCGTTGCCAGGTGCTACCTTCTGTAAATGCTTGGTATTTGAAGCAGGTCAGGTGACACTGCAGCATGTGCAGTAGGACTGAACAAGTTTAGAAGATAATGCAATTGTGATTTTTTTTTTTTTGAGAAGTTGCGATTGCAATTTAATATGTGCCCCAGTGATATTTACTGAAAACCAGCTTTACTGTAAGTGACAATAGGAAGATGAACCCAACATCATTATACAAGGTGGTGTTGAGGGTTGTTGTTAAATTTGCTTTGTAAGTGCCTAAGTTTTGTTTTTATTTTTCACTTTCCTCTCTATAACTGATCATTCAGCTATAGGTTGGACAATGTGAGCTTAGAGTTCAAACTGTACAGCAGTAAATACAGAACAGGGATCTGTTTTTCCTTCATACAATTCTGCATATCTGAACTCATCACAGACTTTGAGTGGTCTATTAGAATTGCTGGTGAAACCAGAGCAAACAGCAAAACTATATAGCATCACCCTACTAAATAAATTCAGACTAGCTTCCTTCTGACTTTCTCTTATGCTGTAGGTTAAAACCTGACTTGACTTACTGGGATCTGTGGTTGTGAATCCACCACATAGTTATTGTCTGGTCAGTTAAGGTCTTTTCACATCAAGGGCAACACGAATAAAGGATACAAAATATAGAATATTTAAGAGATGAGTTAAACGCACCACATATATTCACAGGTACGGTGCCAAATTGATGACATTAGTCTTTGGCACTGAAAAATAAATTTCAAACACCAGTTTCTCAAGGCACTCAAAGATGCTCCAGTCTGTACAGCTTATAACAGTATAAAGTAGCCAATCATGTTCAGTGATCATCAGCACTTCATGTCATACATAACTTATATTTGGTCTTTTTACCAAAAAGTGAAAAATTCCTAAAAGCCGCTGTGTGGTAGGATGCACTACCAACAAAACAAAAAGGTTTGCTCTTTTTTTTTTTATTAACTGTCAGTCCTTAATATAATAGTTGCCAGTATTTGACCAGTATATCTAAAGAGCAGTGTCCAAGTTTTAGCAAAGTAGGCTATAATACATGTACATAATAATACATAATACATAATATACATACCTGTATATTACATATTCACTTTATCACTTATATCAGTTTGGTGAGTTATCAGTTCATTTGAGCATTATATTTTTTGGGCACTGAACCCTATAACCTACGGACTAGAGAAACCTAGAAACAAACACTTAGGCTCTCTGTCACATTATAAAGTTAACTTCACCAACATTTTGCCTAAGTTCTCCAATACTATGGATCCCTGTTCACATGCAGTCCGTCTATTCTTCCACCTTGACTGGACACTTTGAGCAACATTTCTGTGTCTACGTTCAGGGGTCATCTGCTCACACACCTCCCCAATCCCCCTTCAGAACATTCAGACACCATTTTTCTTTGCTTTAAACCCTGTGGATGAAGTATTTCTCTCCACGTGTAGATGCCAAGTGCTGACCGATGGGGGTGAGCCGATTGGATGTATTTTACAGAAGGCTGCTCCTCACCAAACTCTTCATTGGAGGATGGGGGAAACCTGAAGACCTCAAGAGGTACAAAAAACAGGAGATAAAAGAACAGAGTGCCATAGGGAGGACTTTTTTTGTGTAGGCCAGCCCAGAAGTTATCATCACCCTGGTTCCCTTGACAAAAAGCCAATGTGATTTTTCCATAGGCTTTTGGATTATAGTAGGGAATAAGCTTTGTGACAAACAGTTTGTGACACTTGCATGTTTTGTTCAACAAGTTTGTACCAGATAGCTGGGGTCTACTTTCTTTTTAATTAATTACCTATTAATTATAACTATCAATTAATTAACTATTTAATTTTTTGAGGAAATACAATTTTATGATAACATTTATGATAATATTTTTAAGTTGTGTGTATTCCACTTTTGCATCCACACAGTCAGTGAATGTGCAGAATCTCCAAATAATCATACTGTATGAGGCAGAAGTGAGCCAGCATGAGAAATTATTTACCTTGTACTTACACCACAGTCATGATCTGGATTTGGTGATGAAACCAATGGATCTGTACTGATTTTGAACTCGTATGTTCTTCCTTGATTGTATTTTGCAGAATCTTTGAGTTCCGCAAAATCATCGGAGACAGAGACAAGTGCAAGTCTCTGGTGCCTATGAACTATCCAGTTTACATAAACAAGGTACCCCATGTGTTCTTTCTTCATTGCTCACTAGTGTACTGTAAATGTTTTTTTTTTTCTTTTCACAAATACATGTTTGTTTGTGCCTATGTGTCCAGACAGAGGAGCACAGTGAATGTTACATTCATGATGGGTTCTTCATCTCTCCTCTGGAGCACTTTATTCCTGGAATCCTACCACCAGAGGCTGTCAAAGCCAGGTACACAACATGATGTCTACTCTACTCTGCTGCTAATGTCATGATGTCCCAGCAGCTGATATGAGTCCTGTGATCACTGAAAGCTGTAAAGCAATTATTTTATCAGGTGAAATGTGAGCGTAAGAAAATGGCAATTACAAAACCTGAACAGAAAGTTGCAACACTTACAAAATGCATATTAGTAAAAAAGCAGGTTTGGCCCAATAGTCCTAATACAAATAAAATAAAATACAAATAAAATGAGTTCTAGCAAGATAGAACCTGCCTCTGTGACAGGAATAACAACTCAAAAGTATGAGGAAGCACTAAAGACGGAACGAAAAGCAGCCATCAAATAAAATTAACTGACCTCAGTAATATCCAAAAATGCAAAAATAGAGAAAGGGCAGAGGCACAGGCAGACAGCGTTCTGATCCAGTAGTTGATAATCAGTTCAGGAGTCAAACAGTCAGGCAGATCAGGCTACATATGTTACAGGCAAGGGCAAGGCAGTCAGAGAGTCAGACGGGTCAGGATTCAGGTCAGGTAACAGGCAGCAGAGAACGGGACAGTTGGAAAGTGACTAACTGGCAGATGAAGGAGCGCACAGAGCAGGTTAAATAGAGTGGAGTAAATGAACAGCAGGTGAGTCAAGTCAGCTACCTGCAGAGTGGAATTAGCCACAGACGAAGACGGGGCAAGATGGTGAGCTGCATGAAACCCCTGAAGTGGTACAGAACATGATACAAGTTCTGTCATGTTTCCAGAATTTTGATATTGGTTCTTGTGACATCCCTAGAAATGATTAGATTTTGGTGGTCAAAGGTCAGGGTCACAATGACCTCACGTCTGCTCCATTCTTGTGAGCACAATATCTTAAGAATACCTTGAGGGAATTTCATCATATTTGGACCAAACATCCACTTGAAATGAAGGATGAAATGATTAGATTTTGGTGGTCGAAGGTCAGGGTCACTGTATCCTCATGTCTGTCCAATTCCTGTGAATTTGGCAGGTTGGTGGAGACAACTGCGAGGTGGTAATTCTAGTTGTTCACAAAGTTTGTTTTTGATTTGCTTATTTTTTCCCAACCAAATAATGATGAGCATAGTGTTTCTTTTATTACAGTGTCTGTCAATTATTGTAACACTGTCATTATCTGTTGTAGTGAACGTATTGTTCCTGTTAAATGAACAATGACAACAGAAATCTGTTTTCTGTCAATCTTGATGTGTTATTATGCTATGGTATCAAAGTGAGTCCTCACAGTGTGTGTGTGTTATTTCAGGTTCCAGTTTATAGTTCCTAAAAGGTGGCAGAAGAATAAACCAGTATGTATCCACCTGGCTGGAACTGGAGACCATGTAAGGCTCTTAACATTTCAACCTCAATATAGCTTGAACTTTAAAGTGTCACCAGCATTAACAGCCCCTTCAGAGCTGTTAATGCTGGTGACCTGATTTCCTATCAGTATACTTTATGACCCTTAAGTTATCAATAACCTTTGTCTGTGTGTACGTCCTAATTATGTTCTGTGGACAGATGTTTGTTTGATGCAGTCAGTGTGAGAACATTTTTGTGTTGTGAGGACACTTTATCCTATCTGGGAAGAGGTGGGGGTTGGTCATTTAGCTGTGATGGTTAAGATTAAGATGAGAGGCATAAATTTTCTCAAGTCACAAAATACAAGTCTGGAGACTGAGTTAAGCGTTCAGTTTAAATCTGAAGTCTCTGGAGTAGGTGTTTGAGTGAAGTCCAGAGTTTTGGGGGCAGAGTCAAGACTTAGGTTTTTAATTCACTATATACTACAAGAGCATTTTCTCCTTTTGAATTTTATCCAATGTAACTACCAATAAAGGTGTATAGTAGGTAATAGGAACCATGTGTATTATGTCCTTTAAACATAATGCTTTAAATAAAGATTAAGAGCAAAATTAGACATGAAAAAACAGTATTTCACTTAAACAGATGCAGCCATCAACTCAGATGAACAACTACCTTACATTACAAAGGCAGTGAGTCTAACATGACCCAACACATCTGACATTACAACCAACACCAGCAGTAATATTCACAAAGATTTATGCTAACTCCAGGTCAACATAGCTTAGCTGTAGTTGACAGAAGGATGCTGTCACAGAGCAGGTTAAATAGAGTGGAGTAAATGAACAGCAGGTGAGTCAAGTCAGCTACCTGCAGAGTGGAATTAGCCTACAGAGCAGGTTAAATAGGGTGGAGTAAATGAACAACAGGTGGGTCAGGTCAGCTACCTGCAGAGTGGAATTAGCCACAGACGAAGACGGGGCAAGATGGTGAGCTGCATGAAACCCCTGAAGTGGTACAGAACATGATACAAGTTCTGTCATGTTTCCAGAATTTTGATATTGGTTCTTGTGACATCCCTAGAAATGATTAGATTTTGGTGGTCAAAGGTCAGGGTCACAATGACCTCACGTCTGCTCCATTCTTGTGAGCACAATATCTTAAGAATACCTTGAGGGAATTTCATCATATTTGGACCAAACATCCACTTGAAATGAAGGATGAAATGATTAGATTTTGGTGGTAGAAGGTCAGGGTCACTGTATCCTCATGTCTGTCCAATTCCTGTGAATTTGGCAGGTTGGTGGAGACAACTGCGAGGTGGTAATTCTAGTTATTCACAAAGTTTGTTTTTGATTTGCTTATTTTTTCCCAACCAAATAATGATGAGCATAGTGTTTCTTTTATTACAGTGTCTGTCAATTATTGTAACACTGTCATTATCTGTTGTAGTGAACGTATTGTTCCTGTTAAATGAACAATGACAACAGAAATCTGTTTTCTGTCAATCTTGATGTGTTATTATGCTATGGTATCAAAGTGAGTCCTCACAGTGTGTGTGTGTTATTTCAGGTTCCAGTTTATAGTTCCTAAAAGGTGGCAGAAGAATAAACCAGTATGTATCCACCTGGCTGGAACTGGAGACCATGTAAGGCTCTTAACATTTCAACCTCAATATAGCTTGAACTTTAAAGTGTCACCAGCATTAACAGCCCCTTCAGAGCTGTTAATGCTGGTGACCTGATTTCCTATCAGTATACTTTATGACCCTTAAGTTATCAATAACCTTTGTCTGTGTGTACGTCCTAATTATGTTCTGTGGACAGATGTTTGTTTGATGCAGTCAGTGTGAGAACATTTTTGTGTTGTGAGGACACTTTATCCTATCTGGGAAGAGGTGGGGGTTGGTCATTTAGCTGTGATGGTTAAGATTAAGATGAGAGGCATACATTTTCTCAAGTCACAAAATACAAGTCTGGAGACTGAGTTAAGCGTTCAGTTTAAATCTGAAGTCTCTGGAGTAGGTGTTTGAGTGAAGTCCAGAGTTTTGGGGGCAGAGTCAAGACTTAGGTTTTTAATTCACTATATACTACAAGAGCATTTTCTCCTTTTGAATTTTATCCAATGTAACTACCAATAAAGGTGTATAGTAGGTAATAGGAACCATGTGTATTATGTCCTTTAAACATAATGCTTTAAATAAAGATTAAGAGCAAAATTAGACATGAAAAAACAGTATTTCACTTAAACAGATGCAGCCATCAACTCAGATGAACAACTACCTTACATTACAAAGGCAGTGAGTCTAACATGACCCAACACATCTGACATTACAACCAACACCAGCAGTAATATTCACAAACATTTATGCTAACTCCAGGTCAACATAGCTTAGCTGTAGTTGACAGAAGGATGCTGTGATGTGTTAAAAGTAGAGATGTCCTGATCCGATAATAAGTATTGATATCAGTGCAGATCTGGGTATATTTCACAGGAGCGCTATCGGCCAGACTAAAGCTGATCCAATTCTGATCCTTATTTAGAACTACAGACCTGTATTTGAGCACGTTTTTGAGACGTGTGGGTCATGCAACTCATAAGCTGCCATATGAATCCAATCTGTACTGGCTGCATGTTAGCTGGCATATGACTGGCACCTTAAGCCAGCTGCAACCTGAAGCTTATTTTTTTATCTTCAAGGCTATTTTTGGAGCTATGCCCGTAACACGCTCCACAGAATCCACAAAAACACTGAAGGCTTACTACTTCCAAACAGAACTCCACCCAAATAGAGAAATAGGCTACATCATGCAAAAAGAGTCCTCTGTGTGTATTCTTTTCCAAAGGCTCCTCTGTGTGTTTTGCACAGCACCTGCTTTCCTATGTGAGAGTGAACAGGTGCCTCCCAATGATGTGCACGCAAGATGTTACACATTGCACATGCTGTGCTTTTGGTGTAGACATGGCTATGATTTTATGGTTTTCTCCAGTGGTGCAATGACAGCTCCACCTTTTGTTAATGCAGCGTTATTAAAAGTGAAACAGGTAAATCTAAACTAGACTGGTTACACAAACTGTGTGTTCACACACACACACACAAAGTCAGTGTTAGTATCTGCCCTGTAATGAATCTAGTTCTGACAGTGTTGTCCAACTCCCAGTTATTTTCTGTTCATATCAATAATATAAGCAAATAAACTTGATATTTTGGTAACAGGACCTGAACTAGTATTTGGATCAAGAAGCTCCTGAAAAATACAGTTTGCCAGATTCATTTAAATTTCAATATGTCACATACTTAATGAACATTTAATGTAGGTACATATCGGATTGGAATCGTATCAGCAGATTCTTAATATTAAAGGAATCGGATCAGTATGAGAACCAAAAAACTGGATCAGGGCTTCCCTGGTTAAGGAATAACAGAGGGGTGTAAAAACCAAAACCTTTGGCTAACACTGGCGTTATTAACAGTAATAACACTAATTGTAGTGTGCATTGTCCCTAAAATGTTTGAGTCCCAGTCAAATCTTGAGTTAATTAGTGGTGAGTTATGAGTCAAGTCAGTATGTGGTCTTTATTTCTGGTAAGGGGCTAGGCATTATTGCAATAAGTGTTCTCACAATTGTAGAAAGACACAAATGTGTGGTTTGTTTGTTTTCTTTGTGTGTGTGTGTGTGTGTGTGTGTGTGTGTGTGTGTGTGTGTGTGTGTGTGTGTGTGTGTGTGTAG